CACACACACACACACACACACACACACACACACACACACACACACACACACACACACACACACCCCTGTGGGCTTTGGATCACTTTCCTGCCTTGTTCCCTTCACCTTCTCCCACATCTTCATTTCCATCACGTGTCTCTCTCTCTCTCCCTCTCTCTCTCTCTCTCTCTCTCTCTCCCTCTCCCTCTCTCTCTCTCTCTCTCTCTCTCTCTCTCTGTGTGTGTGTGTGTGTGTGTGTGTGTGTGTGTGTTATGTACCCGATTGAACTTCAATCCACAACGAATTCACACATTCCCATACACGCACGCAATTGTAGAGTACACTCGAAGGAGGCAAATCCACACAAAACCGGAGAGAAGATATGCACAGCGGAAGCTCAAAATACACAGAATTGAAAAACGAATTTCAATTTTGGAATCCCTCGTCATCCCCCAATCAATCCAGAGTACTTGTAACAAGAATCACAACAGCGTTTAAAACAACCTCGAACAGCCAGAAACAAGTGTTCAACGAAGTATGCAGGAGTCTTCTTCTTCCTCCTCGCCACCTCATACACCTGAGTATGGCTTCCGTTACAGAAGTAACCACACAGCTGTAACAACGTGCCAATCTGAACCAGCAACCCCAATGATAACAGCGCCAGCTCAGCATCTGCAGAGAAGTGCAGCGCTGGAAGTCCTGATGGGGGAGACAACCAATCCGGCACTTCGAAGAAGACAAAGTTCCTCGAAAGGAGGAACAACCGATATTGCTGCCAAGTGGAGGATGGCAGCGCCCAAACCCAATAACAAAGTCCTATGGAAGCTCTCATGCAGATCTGCGCAGCAGTGAGATCTTCAACTTTGTTTCCCAACCCCAGCTATGGCTGGGCTTCGAGGAAGAAGATGACCTCGCCCAAAATAGAGCATCAGTGCTCCGACAACGGATGGGCAGAGTTTCCCTAGCCAACGAAAAAGTGAAAAGACACACACCAAATTTCCTGCCCGCTACTTCTACCCTCTGCCTAGACCTACGACGGACTCCAAAGGCAACAACCCAATACTCATCTGCATCTAGATGGAAACAGGGGGAAAAGGGGACCTAGACCTATGACAAGGCAAAAGGAAATGGCCGAATGGCCTAAGGCTACCAAACAGAGACTACTAGTGACAGACTCAGGGATAGGGCGCAACATTCACAAACAAAACACACGAGCTACAGGTCACGGGATGAGGTCCCGCAAAGCTCAAAACAAGATAACAAACTTCAAAGCCAAACACTTAGTGCACAGCCCCACTGGGAAACTGCTACCAGCCATATTGGCGTTGAGGTATTAGCTAGAGGATCGCTGAACGTCCATAGCCGTGGAGAACACAAAGACCTCAGAATCTCAGAGGGTTATGGTGAGATTATCAGATTAGATTGATTAGTTGAATGCGAGGGTATTAGCCAGGTTATCAACTTCTAGGCAACCAATCAGCTTCTGAAAATCTACGGGTTGTAGCTTAGATTATCAGCGAGTGTTGGCTAGCTGAATGCAAGGGTATTAGCCTGGTAATCAGCTTATAGATAGCTAACAACATCCTGAAAATCAGATGATCGAGGTTTGGATTAATAGCATGGACCATCTAGTTGAATGCAAGGGCGTTAGCCTAATAATCGACTTTCCTATAATCCATTAATTCTGAAAATTGAAACGGTTTTCACCTTTTAGCAGTGGCGGATGCAGTACCCAGGGKTCGATCCCTAGACCTCACCCTACCCATGTACAGTATCTGTGTAGACCCCGAGAATTGAACCTGTGACCTGTGTATTCGTAGGCAGTTGGTAGGCCTGTTGTAGGTCCATAGGCAGCAGGGGTTCGATCTGTAGGTCTATAGCGTAGGAGTCTTAGTGAGTTCCGGAAGCTTAGCTGTAGACCTTCTAGAAGGTAG